ACCAAGTTGTTAATCGAACTAATGGACTGGGACTCGAAAACTGCTTATGCTTTATACAGCAAGTTTCAGATTGGCATTGAAGCCGAAGACTATAAAATAAAAACTTTGGGGTCGTATAATGGAGATGCTGGAGATTCTTTCAGGCCGCACGAGGGTGTAAAATTTAGTACAGCCGATAATGACCATAGTTCCAAAGGCACCTGTGCCGCTAGTTTTGGTAAACTTTATTTAATTTTGATTTGGTTTATAAAAATGTTCTTGCAGAGAGTGGCTGGTGGTTCACAGATTGTCATCAGGTGCTTCTTACTGGGAAATATATAAAAAACCCTACGCCTGGAACATACTATCGGTCAGCAATGACGTGGCGTGAATTTCATGGCTTTAACTATAGTCTCAAAGAAGCAAGAATGATGATCAGAACTATTTAAGTTAATTTGTTCGAATACAACTAATTCTTGGTTTTTGAATAAAAAATTAATTCAATTGAAAATTTAGCTATTTGTATTAAAACCGTCGTACTAAGTTTTGAGTTAGGAAAAGATCTAACTTTTCATTCGATAATTCAGGTAACTTTGGAGAACATTGGTATATGCTTCGGAACATAGTACCTTCATGAGGTAGGATTAATGGCCGGTGCACTAAATTTTCAATTTCATCGCGTTTTTTTTATGAAAACTAGACATCTTTAATCGTTGGATATTAATTGTCGAATTTTTTCACATTATGGAAACCCGACAAAATAGCTCCCGACAAAATAAATCCACTACACTATAGCTTATAGTTCCGTCAGAATAGCCCAATCTTAAAATCTCCACAAGGGAGCAAAAGTATCACAAAAAATATTTACATGCACTATTTTTAAATTAGAATTTTTTGGTAAACATCATAGTTTATCAAAAATCAAAAACCGCATTTTTGATTTTTTGAGGTCAAGTATAGTCTGGTTATTATTAAAGTTCATGACATAATTATGATTGTAGACGAGCAAAAGCATGTTTTCACATTCAAAATTATTAGACATATCGACTCCTAACTTGTACAGTTGTCTCTATTTTATTATTTCTGTTTTCAATTAAGTAATTGTCATTTTAGCTATTTTGTAAGTAGAGGCATATTCGCATATTACATATTACAAATTCAAGAGATTCTAGAAAATCCAGATATTCCAAAAATTCCGGAGGTTCCCCAGATTAAAAAAAAATTGTAGAGATTCTAGAGATTTTAAAGATACTAAATATGCTAAAAATTCTATAAATCTAATCATTCTAAAGATTCTATATATTTTAGGAATTATACAGTTTTAGAAACTTTATAATTCCTAAAATATATATTTCGAGATTCTAGAAATTGAAGAGATTCCAGAAATTGCATACATTCCACAGATTCAAGAGATCCCAGTGAGTAAAGAAATTTTAGAGATGCCAGAGACTCTTGAGATTCTAGAGATTCTATAGAGATCTATATGTATATATTAGCTATTATATAGTAGCCGTTAAGATAAGACCGATTTTGGCAAATGACATACCTTCTAAGAAAAGAGAGGGAGGGTGAGCGGGGCTAGTACCTGCTAAGATAAGACTGATATTGGCAAATGATCTACTCCCTAAGAAAATGAACGGCGAGTGGAAGGGGCTGGTACTTACTAATATAAGACTGATTTTGCCAAATGACATACCCTCTAAGCGAATGAAGGGTAGAATGTATATCATTTCCCAAAATCAGTCTTATCTTGGCAAGTATTATTTTGCCTTTTTGTTTTAATATGTGTTTAGACTTCTTTTCACAACATGAAACTTAAAACATGTTTTAAATGGAAAATTTGTACAAAGAAATATCGATTTTGCAATTAGGCACCGCCCCATAATTGCAAAATCGGTATTTCCTTGCAAAAACTTACCATTTTAACTATGTTCTAAGTTTTTTGTTGTGAAAATATGGCTATGTATATTAAGAAAAGAAAAGGCAAACTATAAGCCCCACCCACCCATCCTATCTCAATTCTGATGACTTTTTTTATTCGTTGTCAGACCAAAGGGCGGAGTGTAATTGCAAAATCGATATTTTCCTATACAGATTTAGCATTTTAACATATTTTAAGTTTCTTGTTGTGAAAAGATGACTACACATATTAAGAAAAAAAGGCAAAATGTAAGCCCCGCCCACCCATCCTATCTCAATTCTGATGACTTTTTTTATTCGTTGTCAGACCTAAGGGCGGAGCGTAATTGCAAAATCGATATTTTCCTATACAGATTTACCATTTTAACATATTTTAAGTTTCTTGTTGTGAAAAGATGACTACACATATTAAGAAAAAAAGGCAAAATATAAGCCCCGCCCACCCACCCTATCTCAATTTTGACGATTTTTTTATTCGTCGTGAGCCAAGAGGGCGAACAAGAAATAAAAAACATGTTTTCGAGTATCATTTAAAACGGTAAATTTTGTGATCTAGTGTTTTGAAAATTTTGAAAATGGACAGATACGGAAAACCAAAGAAGAAGATAGAGGGTCAAGCAGGAGATAACCTGTGATTAGAAATCGGCGTGAATTTAAGGGAGAGTTTATGTTGATATAGGGTTTTATAGAAAACTTTTATAACTAAATGTAAGGGAAATTTACTACTAATGGCAATTTGTTTAATGATACCAAGTTCACTCTCAAAGGCTTCATGAAATGCTACGAATTTATGGGATGAGGGGTGAAAAGAAGATCAAGGTATAATGGTATCAGTAGCAACATACAACTGAATTTTTCGTTCGAAATCGGACCTAAGGGCGGAGCTTATTTGCAAACTCCATACTTCTCTACAAAAATTCACAATTATACCATTTTAAACATGATTTGTGTTTCCTGTTGGGAAAAGAAAACTACGTATATTACTTACTTACTTACTTACTTACTTTATTGACGGAAAAACATCCTTAAACAATACAAAGAAAAAATAATAAAATCACATGAGAATGTTACAATATTTTTAAAATAAGATTTGCCTTAACTTAGTTTGAAATTTAGGAAAAGTATCTAAATAAAAATCAATTCTGCTATAAATAGAATTACAAGTAAATAATATATTATTAAGTGGTGAAAACAACAAATAATTATATATTAAATAAGAAGGCACAATATAAGCCCCACCCACCCATCCTCATCTCAATTGTGATGATTTTTTCATTCGTTGTCAGACCCGAGGGGCGGAGCGTAATTGCAAAATTCATATTTGTCTATACAAATTTTCCAATTTGAACAAGTTTTAAGTTTTTGTTGTGAAAAGAAGACTGCGAATATTAAGAAAAACCAGGCAAAATGTAAAAACTTATTTTGTCTTTGCAAAATCGATATTTTGCTATACAAATTTACCATTGTAAACATGTTTTAAATTACTTGTTGTGAAAAGATGGCTATGTATATTAAGAAAAAAAATGCAAAATATCATCCCCGCCCACCCACCCTATCTTAATTCTGATGAATTTTTTATTCGCGTAAGTCAAGAGGGCGGAGCTTAATTGCAAAACCCTTATTTTTCTACAAGAAATAGAAAAGATGTTTTTGAGTATCGTGTTGTTCAAAGAATACTAGATATATTAAGACAAAAACAAGTCAAAAATTAAGCCCCACCTATATCCATCCCAAATTCACACGTACGGAAAATGCAAAACCAATATATTTAAAGCAGATAACATACGGGAGAAATGTCCACTCAGTAATGATGACATGCTTAACTTCGAGTGTTTATTTTTATAATTCCAAAGAAGCCGACGATTAGCACGGTCATTTATCAAGTATCAGCGGTGTTCAAGAGGAATATGAACTATCTTGTATAAAATTTTAATCAAGTTCGAAGCGGTTTTAGTTATATTTAGCAAATTAATAGAGAAAAAGAAAAAAATTAATTTTCCAAAAAAATTTTGAAGAATGTTCCTACTATTGTGGAACAAACACTAATACATGAAGGACTCTTAGTCGGTTCTGAATCTAAAGTTACTTTGGCAATATTTTTTCAAATGCTAAAAACTCAAAAAATTTCCAAAAATTTTCCAAAAAAAAAAATTAAAATCTCTTAGGAAGCAAAATGCTGGATTATCAAGTATTTCCTTAAATTACAAATTTGAAATTCAATATTACTGGATATTTGGTGTTAATTCGTTTAGTAGGTACTTGACCAGGTACAGTCTGTCTGTTTTAAGAATTCCATAGTCTTGTAAAACCGTAACAAATAATACTTCTCAAACGCTACTAATTTTGTCTAACTTTCGCTCATTGCGGTTGAGCTGGTAGGTATTGCCTAGCATTTTAGGGGCGGTCCCCATGTTCTACCGGAACGTTCGGACAGAGGAGAAGTTCTCAAAAAAGAAAATACCGTTTTGATGAACTTGAAAAAGAGATGTTTAATGAAACAGATGGAATGTGAATTATAAGTTAGTGTTATGGTTATTTTAAATAAAAACGTTTTGTTTACTTTGTTTTGTTTGTTGTATACTTATTATAAATTATTATAAAGCCTGCAACAATACATAACTGTTTGAGAACCTCTGTAAAATTTCGGGTTTCACCACGACAGGCGGATTGATTTTTAATTCTTTCACATGCAAAAACCTATTACAATCCGTGAACCCCCAGCCAAAATCTGCAAGAACTTTTTTGCACTTTTCTATGGTTTTCGCGCATTCGCAGGGTGCGGGAGTTCGAACTTCCCGCACACGTGCATTTTAACTTTCCGCTGCCATAGTAACCTTAAAATGGTCGGATAGTGTCAACATTGTGAGTGCTGACGGCGCTGTGAATGCCGTTGTTTATAAATAACTCACAGTTGATCCCTTCAGTTTATTCGTTGCAAAAAATATTGTACACTACATGTTCGTGAGCCTGCTTCCCGCATTCACTCGTCCATACTTTTAGCCCGTTTTTGCGCTTCGCGCATTCATCCCTCGGTGTACTTCTGATTTCAAATAAGCTCTAACTCGAAAATTAGTATGATGGTTTTAATCAAAATAACTAAATTTTCAATTGGACGTATTTATTATTCGAAATACAAAAGTCAAGGATTAGTTGTATTTGGACAAATAAACTTAAATAGTTCTGATCATCATTTTTGCTTCTTTGAGACTATAGTTATAGCCATGAAAGTCATGCCAGTTTATTGCTGACTCATAGTATGTTCCAGGCGTTGGGTTTTTTATATACTTCCCACTAAGATCCACATTCAAACAAGTCGTGTACCACCAGCTACCCTCTGCAAGAACCTTTTCATTATGCGAATCAAAATTAAACGAAGTTTACCAAAACTAGTAGCACAGGTGCCGCTGGGACTATGTTTCATGTTTCGTCCATTTTGGAACCTCTAGGGGCATTCCAACAGCCAAAGAAAATTTTCCGTATTGGTCCTCCAAAACCTAATGCGGTACGTCCGTTAAAGATGATTTTTTCGAACAACGATGAGGCCAAGAGTATACTAAAATCTAACGTTAAAAGTCCCAATAAACAAAATCACTTTCGCCCGGATTTGACTACACGGCAAAGACAATCCAATTCTTCCATAATTGAGAAATTTAAGGAAAGAAAATCGCGCGGAGAGAACGACATTGCGCTGACCTATAGGAACAATATGGCATTGATTACACGGAGGAATGAAGGCAGAAGTCAAGCAAAAAACGAATAAATTTTTATTTTCACAATGTTGGAGGTTTAAATACTAAGATTCATGATTTTTCAAATAGAGTTAATACGAGTGTTTACGATGTTATTGTAATAATAGAATCTTGGTTGACACATGAAGTTTCCGATGTAGAACTAGGTTTATCTAATTTTAACATATTTCGTGCTGATCGAAGTTTTAGTGTTAGTGGTAAAGTTAGAGGTGGTGGTGTACTGGTGGCTGTAAAAAAAGATATATGTTCCTCAACTATCTTTATAGCTCAATCAGTAGAAAGTATTTACCTTCGTCTTCAGATTAAGGAATTTAACTTTATTGTGGGAGGCGTCTATATTCCTCCTGGTTCTGCGGAAGTTATTTATAAGAACCACTGTGTTGATTTAGAAAATATTTTTAACAAATACCCTGAGTCCAAATATATTATTGCAGGGGATTTTAATTTACCTAATATGTATAAAGATTGACGACAATATGTTTATGTCGTGTGCAGGGCCACGGAGCAATTTTGATATAATCAGTGGGTTGTATTCGTTTTTAAACATGAACCAAATTAACATGATCCCAAATGAAAGGGGCGTCTTTCTTGATCTAATCTTTTCTAATATTAAGGATATAGAAATTAGCGAAGCTATGGATCTGTTATCGAATGTAAATTTTCATCACATTCCTTATATGTGGTCTGTATCTTGTATAGCAGATGCTCCCTTACTCTTGGAGAAGTATGTTTTTGATTTTGGTAATGGAGATTATCACTCACTTAATAATTTTTTGGCATCTGTGGACTGGACGTCTTGTTTCAGTAATAAAAATGTTGATACTAAAGTCTCGATATTCTATTACATTTTGTTAACAGGCATTAATTACTATATTCCAAAGAAAACAATTAAATCTGGGAGTTCTTATCCGATATGGTTTAACAGGGATCTTAAAAATTTGTGCTAGCAGAAAAGGCTCGCTCATTTTAAATATAAATTGTCTGGCAAATTAGTAGATTATCTTAACTTCAAGTCGATTCGATCTCGCTGCAAGACCCTTAATGAAAATTTATATTCTTCGTACATTGCCCAAGTTGATGTTAGTGTTACATCTAACCCAAATTATTTTTGGAAATATATTCGTAATAAGAACAAGGATAATGGGATTCCTAATTATATGTCATTTAAAGATAAGAAAGCGGACAATGGAGCAGATATTTCCAATCTGTTTGCGGAATATTTTTCTACAGTCTATGTTACTGATCCCACAACAAATTTACAAAATTATAATTCACCTAATTTAAAAATCTTTGATAGAGGATTAAAGGTAACATTATTGGATGTTTTTCAAAATATTAGCAATCTTAAATCTTCTTATTCCTGTGGCCCCGACGGTGTTCCAAGTATGCTTATAAAAAAATGCATTGGTACTTTGGCTGTTCCACTGTTCCTATTGTTTGAATCATCCCTTATGGAATCCAAAGTTCCTGATGTTTGGAAGTGTAGTTATGTGTCTCCGATTTTTAAATCGGGAGCACGAACCAAAGTAGAAAACTATAGAGGGGTGAGCAACCAATCAGTAATCCCCAAAATTTTAGATTACATTATTGCGAAACAACTTCGATTGTATCTACTCATCAACATGGGTTTTGTAAAGGTAAATCTTCTCTTACAAACTTATTGTCTTACTACGTGTTTCTTAATAATTCATTTCAAGTAAGGTCTCAAGTGGATTCCATTTACACCGACTTCGCAAAAGCCTTTGATAGGGTCAGTCATCACATTCTGATCTCTAAACTGAGTCAACTAGTGTTTAACAGTTCCACTGTAGATCGGTTGTTTTCGTTTTTATCGGGCAGATGTCAACAAGTTAGAATTGGCAATTTTATATCCCGCAGTTTTGAAGTTACTTCTGGTGTACCTCAGGGATCACACTGTGGTCCAATATTATTTTTGCTGTTTGTCAATGATCTACAATTTTGTTTCAAATATTCTAATTTTTTACTTTACGCCGATGACTTGAAAATTTTTAAACTTATTAAATCTCCTCAGGATGCGTTGGAATTACAATCTGATTTAAATAGCTTATACATATAACTGGTGTGATCGGAATCAATTGTTTTTAAATACTGATAAATGTTATGTTATAACATTCTGTAAAGTAAAAAATTTATACCAACATACCTATAAAATAAATGACAGTGTCTTGAAGGTACTAAATGAAATAAAAGACCTCGGTGTGGTGTTTGATTCAAAATTGTCTTTTTAATCTCATTACGATTATATTTTCAAAAAGTCAATGAACATGTTGGGTTCTGTATGGCGTCACTGTCACATGTTATCAACGTTCTCTTTAGACACTTTACTGTTCCCTCGTACGTTCGCATTTGGAATATTGTTCACCAATATGGTTTCCCTTTTATAAGACGGATAATGATTATTTGGAAAGAATTCAAAAGAAGTTTCTTAAATGTTTGGAATTCCGAATGCATTGGCCCCACCATAAAGGCCAATACGAGATCATCACCAATTTCATAAACCTGCCTTCTTTGCATACAAGGAGGATACTGTCGGATGGTTGCCTTTTACATGGTGTCATAAATGCTCATATTGTTAGCCCTGAAATATTATTACAATTGGATTTCTATGTTCCCGATCCTTCGGTTTGTAACACACGCAGTGTAAACATTTTTAGAGTCCATTCTTCGTTAAAAACTAATTTTGCTTTTAATAATCCAATTAATAGACTAATGGAACTTGGAAACAAATTTGCATCCATAGAAAAGTTTGATCTTTTCCAGAATTCAAAACATATATTCAGACGTGAATTCCTTTCTATTCTTAACAATAATTGCCGTTAATTTTGCTCATGAGTTATGTCTAAGTTAGTGTTAGGTTAGATATAAGTTAGATAGAAGTACTTATATGTTTTCAGTCTTTTGTACATTTATTTAGTTTATCTGTGTAAATTGGAGTAATCCGTAACATGATTAATAAATAAATAAATAAATAATAAATAAATATTAGATTATTTTCAGCCATTAATATAGTAAAAAATTTGATATCAGTTACATTTACAAAACAATATTAATATTACATTTTCCGTCACAAACTAAATATTGATAAATGCTATTTTGTAAACTTTATCCCTAAAGTCTAGGGTTAGTTTGTAATAATCTTGTACTTGTAGAAGCTGGCTGGTAGTACAAGGAATACAGACTGCTTGAAAACAATCTATCGGTAATTCCGGTGACTGCATAAGTTTCCACCGCCCATATTTTGCAACATCCCGTATATGCACATGTAATAAACACTTCTTACTTAATATTTACATAATACAACAATATAATATATTTTCTTATCAGGAGCCTGGTTAAGGGCCACTTACACAGGTCACCAAACAAGTGAATACAAGCTGTTTTATTAAATATTATAGTCTTACCAAACCTACCATTAAAGAATATGTTTTCAAAGCATCAACTTTATTTTTAAGATTACTTATGTTAAAATTTATACTTGTATGTAAAGTTCAACCATCGCTATTTGGAGGTGACTTCACTGGGGATTAAAGACTAATTAGCACCTTGGGATGATTTATTGCTTAGACCCTGTTGTAAATGTATCCATCAAGGGTGACCGTGGCCCGCAGCGTAGCGTTTCTTTTCATTGAAATAGTAATCCGGGCAACATTTACAACAGGGTCTAAGTAATAAATCATCCCAAGTGCTAACTAAGCTTTAATTCCCAGTGAAGTCACTTCCAAATAGCGATAGTCGAACTTTAACAATATCTAGTCTAATAGTCTTTTAAAATTCATTACTTTCTTATACCTACTCACTGAAAATTCTTCTACATCACTTTATCACGTTTGCTTAGTCTTCTGGTCACGAGTGAATACAAAATATTCCCGAAGTTGTAACTCTCGTAAAAAATTGTAATCTATTATTACAGCGATAACATGGAACAATTATTAATGTCTGCAACGGAGCAGCAGCTAAGTCTAGCAAAGAATGAAATATTTAATAGAATAGCTGCTTCAGAAATATCGATAAAATTAGCAATTTCCAGAAGTGAAGATGTTAATTAATGTGTTCGGAAACTGAACGAAATTAGAAACCACTTGATCGCTATAGACGAAACAGAAAAAATGTCAAAGAACAACTATCAGAAACGAAGAATAAAATGGTTGACCAACTGAATGCACTAAGAGAATCCACAGAGTCGGTTCTTTCCCAAAACGAAACACAACTAGGTGGAATAGAGTCAAATTTGCAAATTTGTTTTGAAAAAATGAAAAACGAAAGTATTGCATACACTTTCAAATTTTAACGAGATTAAAAGTCAACTTAAAAAAACGCAGGAAGAAATTGTCTATGGTGTTCGACAATCTAGAAGGATACCAAGTGTTTGCAGGGAATTTCAGGAGAAGGGGTATAAAACTTCTATATCTCCAGCAGTTTATTAAAAGGTACTTGCAGATACATAAAAAAAACCTACGGCTGAAACATACTATCATTCAGCAATAAATTGGGTTAAATTTCATAGCTATAACTATAGTCCCAAAGAAGCAAGAATGATAATCAGAATGATTTAAGTTTCTGGAGACAGTTAACAAAATTTTTTCACAAATATATGAAACAATTTTGATACTGGAAAAAAGAACCAACGAGTTCAACAATCTGAATTTGTATTATGAGCTACCTTACCCACATCTCAAAAAAGACACAATATTAGGAGAAGAGAACAGGGATTGGAACCACGATCTGAATCTTTTCACGTATCCTCTTCTGTGTAAAAGTAAAAAAAAATCCATAGATCATAAGTTCAGACTTAATTTTTTTAAATAATCTAAGAAACGGTACTGGTTCGATAAAAAAAATAACTAAACTGTTTTCCTGAAAGATTAGCAACAACAGAAATAAAGAACTTTGTCGATTTATCTGAAGCATTTTTTCGCTTCTGTTAACTGAACTCTAACATTTTCTTCTGTTTCAGCTACAGTTTATTGTTTTGTTTCGTGCT